AATTCATATTGCATGTTGCAACGGTCCGGAGGTGCACGGAGAAAAGAATTCTACGAAAATTGTTTTCAACAGTTGGCGTGAAAATAACATGATCGACAATCGCAATCGCCTGATCGGGAAATTTATGACGAATTGACGAATGTGTGTTGTGTAGAGAATTGTGACGTGTTATATATTATAGAAATTATATATGTTATATATGTTATATATATTATATATATTATGTTATATATTATAGAAGGTTATATATGTGATATATGTTATATATTATGATGTGTTATATATATTATATATTATATATTATAGATTCGTAATGATAAAGAATAATTAATTAGAAATTATAATATGAAAATAACGTGATACAATGCAGTATAATTAAGAGTGTGAATACTTTATGAAAAATTGCATAAATAGGAGAAAAAAAATCGTAAAAATGCGATGTACAACTTAAGAGAAATTTATTTTGCTATACGTTATTTCTTAATGTTATTATTACATGTTACTTTAATTATATTCTATTATATCTTAATTCCTAAGATTTTTGCTACGTCGAAAATATTCGATTAAAAAAGTAAAGTTTTAAGTGACGAAACAATGTTTCGTCATTCATCTCAAGTTTCTAATGATTTCTCATCTCCTTTATTCTAAATGAATATTAAATATAAATGGAGACAAACTTATTTCATTATATGATTTCTAGAATTCTTGTTACGATGTCGAGCATTAAAATTAAAATTTCAAACGAAATAACAATTCTCCGTCGTTCTACGTTACTAACAATTTATCAGATTTATTCTGAAACGGAATGTATAAACGAACATATTAGAATAAATATGAATGAAAAATATATCATCATTAATAAATATAAATGAAAATATATTATATTATATATTATAATTATATATATTATATTATAATATATATTGGAATAAATATAAATGAAAATATATTAACATTATTTATATTATATTATATTATATTGTTATATTAACATTATTATTTATAACAATATATTAAATATATATTATATTATATTATAAAATATATTGGAATAAATATAAATGAAAATATATTATATTATAAATATATATTAATTATAATTATATTATTTATTAATTATATATATTACATTAATTATGATATATTATATTATATTATAAAATATATTAAAATAAATATAAATGAAAAGTATATCAAAAGACGAATATGTTAGAATAGCTACAAACGTAGCGAAATTTTTTATTTCATCATGTAAATTTCTAAAATTCTTTCTCGTTCATGATGTCGAACTAAATTTAGAATTAAAATCCCACGTGAAATAATAATAATAATATTTCATCGTTTCAATTTCAAATTCTCAGCGACAATTCAATAGGAAAACTTGTTTGGTTACGTGATTTCAAAGATACTTCTTGCGACGTGAGACACGCTCGGATTTAAAATTCCAAAGCCAGATAACAACTCTTCAAAGCTGTCCAATTTTATTTTATTTCATTTTATTTTATTTTATTTCATTCTATTTGCACCATTTCGTAAGTGGCCCAACATTTGTAAACGAGAGCGCACACGTCGATCGTGCGCGATCCGTATTTCGTCGACAATCGGTCGGTTCAATTTCAAAACGTTTCACTGAAATGCTCGAACTGCCCGGCCACTTTATTACACCGTCGGCCACCGCGGCAAACCACAACGCTGTCGAGCGTTGACGAATTATTCGACAAGGCGACATGCCACGTCCCGTTTTCGCTTCGTTCTCGAAGAAAGAAGTTGCCTGCCTGGGATTTAGCTCGGTGGAAGTGTTCCCACGGTGAAACGGAGTTTGCAAGTGGAACAAGTCCGTTTTCCTCCCCCCCCGGATATTTCGCCATACATCGGAGAAACGTCGACTACTTCAACTTTCGGCTTTTGTGCGCCCGGAGAGAGAAAGAAAAACTTGACCGTGCGTTTTCCACGAGGAGAACGATCGATGGTCCTCCGGATTTGCCATTCCAGTTGGCATAATATCTCTCTCGACGTACCCACTTTGTTCAATTAAGAATTTCGACGAGATAGAATTTAAATCTAATTACTGTAAAATGATATACTCTTGTAATATTATTGTAACGTAGAAAATTTTCACGTACGTCATATAGATCATTCGATCGAAGTTTATTAATGTAATCAGAAATATTCAGAAGATAGATATAAAATTATATACTCGTACAAAAGTATATATCAAGTACATAAAATTTGATTTTGTGTTTGAAGATGTTTGGTGGTTTAAAAAATAGTATTGAACGTTATAGGAAATGCATACACTATTCTACGTTATATTTTATAAAATATTCATCGAGGCTCAATCTACGTTGTATTTTATAAAACATTCATCGGGGCGTTAATCTCATGGATGATTGATTGTTTCCCTTAATCAACAGTTTCTCTCATTTTATTCTTCTCCAGTTACTTTATCCAATTCATAGTTTCTTTTAAAAACGGGGCGATAAAATGTTATTAATAACATTGTTATTAAATTAATTATTATAAATGTTATTATAAAAATAATATAATAATATGATAATAAAAAAATAAATAATAAATAAAAATATAATAAATGAAATATAAAAAATGTAAAATATAAAATATAATAAATAAAATAAAATATAAAATATAATAAAATAAAATATAATAAATAAAAGGAAATAAATAATAAATAAATAAAATAATAAATAGAATAAATAATAAATAACAAATAAATAAAATAAAATAAAATATAAAATATAATAAATAATATAAAATATAAAAAATATAATAAATAAAAATATAATATAATAAAAATAAATGTTGTCAGAATGTTATATCGCAACATTATATTTTAAAGAAAAGAAAAGAAGAAAAAAGATCGAGAACTACGTCACAATGTTGAATTTACGTATACCGGATAAAATCAAATCTATCCTCAAAATTAAATCCACCGTCATTCTATTAATTTCGAAGTCTGTCTGTCTCTAAATGACAACAGGGCTCCCAGATTAAAAAACAATCTCGCCGCGAGTAAAACGTTACCCTTTAGCCTTGGAAGAAGGTTGAAACGTTGCTGCCGTGAAGATAAAATTCTAAGCTCTCCGAGTATATTCTTTTCTCCTCACGTTCCGCGACAATCTCATTCGTCGGAAAAGCTTAAATACTTCAGCCAGTGTCGTTTCCTCCGAGATGCTTCCCTTTCACGATACTCAAGAACGCCTCCGCTCGCCTTTTCCCAGCCTTTTCCCATCTTCTTTTTCCCCTCTCTTCGTCCTTTCTTTCTGCTTCCCTTTCAAAGTGTGACTTCGCACAAGCGTGCAGCGCTCGCGAAAATACAATTACCTCGGCGAACGTCTCGTTTCGAATCGATTCCATTTCGCTCTGCCGGGGCCATTCGATTTCCTCCGCGCCGGCGGAGAAATTTCAAGTTGTTTGAAAACCCCGCGCGAAACAATTACCGAACGGCGGGCAACAGTGGCGAATCAGGCGAATGAAATTGGCGAAAACAAGCGAACTAATGGCGAAAGGTGTACGCGGCTCTTTCCCTTGCTCGGTTTTTAAAGCTGCAGAAATAGGTTGCGCCAGGCAGGAGGGTTCGGTACATAGGTAGGGCTCGTGTGCCGTGGACGAGGCCTCGTTGATCGATAGGGGTCTAACCCACTACTACAAACGCCATTTCATTCTCTACTAGCGTGCGCCCATACTCGTACGCTTCACCAACACTTCCCTCACCTTGTAATTAGGGATGGAATCGAGTCCCAACATGTACTTACGCGAGTCAAGTTCCATAGTTTGATTGTAAGTTTCGTTCCACCGGTGTTTCGGAAGTAAAAGGAAAATGTTTTGCATGCCAAGTGCATGATTTGCAATGCACCGAGTGTAATGTATGAATCGTACACACAAATATATGGATCTTTTTATCTTTCTATTCGTATCTCGAACGTTATTTATGTAGAAAATAAAATTATATATTTAGAAGACAAAGAAGTAAAATTGAATATAGAATAAAATTATATATTTAGAAAATAAAGAAATAAAATTGAATATAAAATAAAATTATATATTTAGAAAAAAAAAGAAATAAAAAATTGAATATAAAATAAAATTATATATTTAGAAAATAAAGGAATAAGAAATTGAATATAAAATAAAATTATATATTTAGACAAAAAAGAAATAAAAAATTGAATATAAAATAAAATTATTTAGAAAAAAAAGAAATAAAAACTTGAATATAAAATAAAATTATATATTTAGAAAATAAAGAAATAAAATTGAATATAAAATAAAATTATATATTTAGAAAATAAAGAAATAAAATTGAATATAAAACAAAATTATATATTTAGAAAATAAAGAAATAAAAAATTGAATATAAAATAAAATTATATATTTAGAAAATAAAGAAATAAAAAATTGAATATAAAATAAAATTATATATTTAGAAAATAAAGGAATAAGAAATTGAATATGAAATAAAATTATATATTTAGAAAATAAAGGAATAAAAAATTGAATATAAAATAAAATTATATATTTAGAAAAAGAAGAAATAAAAAATTGAATATAAAATAAAATTATGTGTTTAGAAAATAAAAAAAATGTTTTAAAAGTACAATATATTACTTATACTCATTGTAGACGAGCACAATATATTGGTATATTCATTGTGTGAATATAATAAACAAGTATAATATATATGTAAGTAAAATATATAGGTATAATGTATAGTTCAATCTATGAACATAATATAAATATATATTTTTATTTGCATTTCGAATATTAGTAGCAAATAAAAATGTTTCAATGAATATAACATATGTAATGGGCATTTATACGAGCACTTTATGAAAATACAATATACAAATGTGCATTTATTTGGTACAAGCTGGTTTCAAACGCTATAATAAATATCCTCAGCAACTATACTTCACTTCAATGAAAATAACGCGCGAAATTTCTCTCTTTTCAGTTCTTGCATCGTTTAAAGATATTTATAGGGATCAATGAAGAAGCTTAGAAAAAGATACTTCGTCGAAATGTGTGAAAAATTCCTAACATAACCTACAAAGCCAAAAGATCCAGGCATTATCGATATCTTTAATTCTCAAGTCGAAGTTCTTCAAGTTTTATTCAAACGAAAGTTGGGGAAAAAAGAAAGGGAAAGAACAAATGAAATAAACAAATTGTTTGTGCTGGCAACTGGTTCGCGCGGACCATAACGAGTGACCGAACCGTGTACAATAATTCGCGTTCATTTTCCTTTTGAACACGTCGGTATTAGATCATCGGATAGAAACTATCAAGAAGTAATGTACTTATCATTTAAATATACTCGACACTGAGAAAATGTTGCAAAATTCTCGACGTGCAAGATGTGAAAAGGGCCGAGCCTGCCTGCGAGGCGCTCGTTCCCATCCCTACTTGTAATGCCACACAGGTAAATACGAGGGACAACACCGGAGCAACTGCCTCGCCGTAGGTGTTAACAAGCTTTCTTCGTGTTTACCGACACCGACTCGTTAAACGCAATTTCTATCCTCGTACACCTTCGACTGCGACGGCTGCCTTTCTACCCTGTGCCAGCGATTAGACAGACACTGATTCAGATAAAGCGCGTTACACGTTACAAAATCCACGAATGTGTTACCACGTGCTGGCTTCCTCCGCTGAGCGAGAAGAGAGATCTTCAGATATTGCTAAAAGTTTCTTAACGTCACGATGATTAATTAGTTTAATTCCAGCGTCAGGCACGAATAAAGCGCGTGGGAAAAGTGCGAGACTCGCGGAGGCACGTTGATTTACTTCGTCATTCGTGTTGAAATTGTTTCGCAGCGTAGATACGTGTGAAAATCGCACGGCGATAGATCTGGATTGTTAATGTCGGATGTTGCCGTTATTTTCGCTCAAATTTACGCAACAGAATTTGCCCACAAGTATCAAGCGTAACAACGTATGTATGTGTGTGTGTGTGTGTGTATATATATATAAACTTTGGGCATATTTACGTATATTGTAGATACATATATTGCTGCGAATGCTACACGTTTAATGTATCGCGGTATGCAATCGGTTAACGCAATTCGAGTTGGTGCTATGCATTAATAACAATGTTACATTTATGTATAACAATGTTTGGTAGAAACTACTTATTGACATATTACGTTACCATCGTAATATCACCGATCCTCATAGTATTTATTTGTGAAATTGTACAACTGATTGAAGTTAATGCACCTCTCGTATGAATGAAATCTGTCCCTTTAATGTTACAGAATCGTAAAACGATCAAACATGTTCCTAGTCACGACGTGTTGATACATTATACGTCACATTGTGCATAGACAATTATCAGACTACATTATGAGACATTATGAAATTTCAATCGTTATAACAAACACCACGTGTAATTATCAATCCCAGGATAGTTAATATTACAAAAATTTATTGCTCAATTTGTCGTTCAGCCACTCTAAATTTATACCACCCTTAAATCGTTGTTTTTTTCTGATTGAAAACCAACAATCCTCCGAGGTGATCTCGAAGCCTCCCTTTACAGATCTCCGCGCGTTTTACACTTTCTTGAATCCAATATTCCTTCGAACATTTCAACAGCCGGCTATTACCACGATCGTGGTGATAGAAGTGACGGAGAAGCTGGGCTCTTCCAATAATCGTACGACAGGAATCTCGGTAAGGGAACGATCGCGCGAGTGTCATCGCGATGCGTTTGCAATCCTCTTTCGATCTATATACTATCTAAATACATGTATACAGGGTGTTTCGTAACTTATGGGACCCGCTTCGGGAGCTGATTGCACGCCTAAAAATAATGAAGAAAAAAGTCATATAAATATATGTCCTATCTGTCTTCGTTTAGGGGATATAATGAATTTTCTGTTTTAATTACTATTACAAAAGATGCTCGAAATGACCAGCCTGCACGCGTCTTGTCATTCATCTGGTTACTCTCTCTATCATTCCTGGTGTTTCTCGAAT